CTCCCACCTTATCCACCTGGAGTGGACTGTCTCTGAGCTCTCCATGACCTGAGTGCTTTGCCCTGAAACTGTTTTATGGAGAAGTGCTGGCAAAAGTCTAGAAACTAAAACAGACATGAAATGAGGGATGAGAGTCAATGCATCAAAGAAAACAAACATCTAAGAGGAACCGCCTGATGGCTTCTGCCCTTGAGTCAAAGCACTTCTTCGCCACTTCTGCCATATGGGGCCAAGTCGGGAGAAATGCTGCTGGGGGAGAAGAGGAACTGCCCCAGAATAACCTTGAGCTTGTGGAGGAGGAGGGGGAGAACTACAGCTTTGGTGGGCAGGCTGCCTGGAAGCTCACCTGACATGGTGCAAAACCTGCTGGCACTGGTTGTGATACTGCTGGAGCCAGGGCTTGAGCTGGGTTGGGGCAACCACCAGCAAAGGGTGAAAAGGCTTTCCCAGCGATGCCTGAAACAACAAAATCAATGTCAAATCAACGGCAGACATCGCAATAAAAACAGCGTGGAGTGGCAAGAGGTAGAGCTGTTTATGTGTAATCCAAGGAAACTCAAAATGGCACCAAAATCAAGTGCTGCACTCACCAAAGCTCGTTCTCTCTGCAGCAGGATATTGAGCAAGCCCTGGAAAGTGAAAGGAGACAAGGATTAGACAAGTCCAAACGCAACTCTGTGTTGGGGGTTCTAGGGTGCTCGCCTTGCAGTAGTTCCTTAGCCCTCTACTGGCCACCATTCTCTAACACTGCCATAGTTGGGGGTTGGCACATGCTGACCCATGACCCTGAATGTCACAGGCAACATGGCCAGGAAAGAGAGGGCAGTGGCCCAGGACACAGCTGTCCCCGGGAGACCAAGTCTCCCACCTCTGGCTGAAGATTCCTCTGAACAGGCTATGAGAGAAGGCAAGATTCAAGACAAACTGGGTGAAGACAAAACCACTATTGCTACATGAAAGCAAAATAAACAGAAAGCAAGACATTCTTACTGGGCAGAGTTGCTACACTGGGGTTTTGTTAAAGGCTGTTACCTGGCAAGAGATGAGAGCCAAAGCTCTGGGCAAGTTTGGGAATGGGAGGGAAGGAGAGCAGCAGCTGCCCTCCAGGTTAGCGCTCCGTTGTCCCGCCCCTCACTCACCGTGTGGTGGTCCGCATGCAAGTGGGACACGAACACAGCAGCGAGGGTGCTCAGGACCCTGTCCACGTCATCTCCGTAGTGACGACACAGCTGCCCAAACGTGCCTTCACCACAGTCCAGCAGCAGGGACTTGTCAGAGCTAGAGAGTAAGACCTTCGTCACAGATAGGAAAGAGCTCTGACAGCTCAGAGAATTGTTACTTCAGAGAGAAGAGCAGGAAGTACTTTCTATGTCTTCCATAATCCCTCATGCTGTTTCTCTGAGGACCTTATACACACATGAATGCAAGTGTAATGTCCATCTTCATTATATAGAACTATCCACAGAACCCTGAAGCTCTTTAAAGTATATAGAAAGTATACAGAGCTACACATATGCTGGGCATCAAAAAAAAAAAAGGCTTATGTGGAATGAGAGAGTTAAAACATTTACGAATCTTTGATTATTCCGACTGAATATGGCAACACCCACTGTTGGTAATACCGGAGACAGGCATTGTGTACTTATGAGATCTGGCTGTCATCGAATGTTTTCCTTTTTCAAGCAGTTCTGTTTTTCTCAGCCCATGTCCTCAAAGCTGGCTGGTGCAGGACAGGCCACAGATGTTCCCCCTGGGGAATGAGTTCATGCAGACTCCCAACTAACTGTCAGAGCTTTGGATTTAGCTGGTCTCAAGCGAGACTCTGGGAGCTTTGATTCCACAAGCTCTGCTGGCTATTCTGAGAAGCAGCCGTTACAGAACCTCCGCTCTAGGAAACAGGGCCAGGTCTCCTGCAGGCCTTCCTTCTCCAGGAGGAGCCGTGAGACTGAGAGAACTGCACCTATTTTTCAGAGAGGAGCCTCAGCGCACTGACACATTACATTTGGGGGATAAAGTGGAGTAGGGAAGGCAAGCCAGTGACTACCTTCAGATTAACTGCAAAAGGCTCTAGGGGGTCTCAGAGCACTCTTCACTGAGCGTCTCAGATCCGGGAAAAGCCAGCCCACACCCAGACGCTCTACTGCTATTTCCTCAGTCATAAGAGAAATGTGTCCGCAATTTGTATATTTCTGATATTGGGGTGCATCTTATAATTGTTGTGTACATTTAATGCATTATTTGGTTATCATCCACCACTAGCATCTAAGATGTCAAAGCAAAATTTTAAAACCAAGTACTTTAGTCTCACTTCCTTCACATATACACCATGAACATTTTCGAGTGCCCTTGATTAATCTCTGCAGATAAATGACACAAGGGAAAACCAAGAGAATCAACTAAAAACCACCTAATAAGGGGCTGAACACAAAACAAATGCACAGACCCAGAAACTGTTTCACATATCAGCAGTATCTAGTTAGCAATTAAGACACCAATTCACACTTGGATCTGGCACTTACCAGCTGTGGGAACTAGAGCCAAGTAACCTCTCTGAGCATCAATTTACTCGTCAATAAAATGGGTAGTCAGTCACTACTTCACAAGATTAATGTGAAAATTAAGTGAAATGATTTCTTAACAAGGGGCATGGCATATGGTAGAATCAGCTATTTTTATCAAAAGACATAATGGGTGACAAATTTCAGTGATTCCCAGAAGTCTAAGTTAGCTATTGAGACTATAAAATGCATTGAGACCCACTACTCCACTTCGGGGGCACTCTAGCCAAGATGACAAGCTTAACAGGGTTTTAGACTACTGCATTTTCAAATCAGCGTAATGGGTGGAACAGAACTTTGTTTAGAAAATTAGCATGTTTCTTGATGGATGCATGTTTCCTGGGAAAGCAGTAATACCTTATGTTGATAAGTGTGGAGCTGACATTTCGAATCTTCATCGGGATGGCAGACCCTGTTCCCAGGAAGATGATTTCTGGATACTGTTTTTTTTTGTCTATGGAAAAATACATATAAAAGAGTTCATTTCTTTGGGTCAAATGTGAGCCAGCATTCATTCCTGAGAAAAGTCCAGCTTCCCAAGACAGGATGGTGGGCCTGCCTGGCAAATGTCCTTATGTAAGGGCCTTAGTGAGAGGGGCCAACGGCAGTTTGTGGGTAAATGGCTATCAGTCTGTGAGGGAAAGCAAGTGAATTCCCCAGCACTTCCTCTGACAGAATGGTTCTAAATTTTTTAAATTACAAAGGAACTTCTTTATGCTTAGGATCAGCATTTATCTCAAGGGGCTGGTGTCACCTTGCATCCAGCTCTTAAATCAACAGACCTCCACCTGCTGTATATGCTCATGCAACCGTGCATCACCCCACTTTCTAGGGGATTAAATGGGCTCAGGGGGTCATTTCTCCAGAGAAAGGAAGAGACAGAGAGCCAGGACTCAAATCCAGGGAGACCTGATGATTCTGACACTTGTGCCCCCTCCCTGGCCTCACCAGCCTGACAGGCTCCCTGTACACATTTGCAAGCATGATCTTACTGGATCTTTAACGTAAAACCAGAAATCCAATCACAAACCCAAAGGAAGTAAGGCCATGATAGTTGGTCTTCCTCAAAATATCCAGAGGCTGTGATAAGAGGAGGTGAAGTTTTTACTTGCCTAAGGCTGACCAGAGTATAACCCCAAACCCATCTTCTACTCCAATATTCTCTATTTCTATCATTAGTTGAAAATACACTGGAAAAACCAACCACTGGAGCAGAGGTCACGAAGTCCCCCTATCTACTTTTCCTCATGGGGCCATGAAAGCCCAATAAGGTGAGCGATGTGGGCAAAACTTTCTGTGGATCCTTATAGCAAAGCCAGGACTAGGTCCCAAGTAAGCCAAGTCCCAGTTCAAAGTTCTTTCCAATGTCTCACAGGATTTCTCAGAACCGCTGCACTCAGCATGTGTCTTGTAAGGAATGCCTAGGTGCCATCACCAAGCGTTCCAATTTAATTGCTCTGGGAGGGAGGCAGACACCAGTGTTTTTAAATAGAAAATCGAGAAGCACTGGATTACACAAATAAATCCAGTCATACTGAATCATGCTGACACTCTACTCAGTGCTATGAAAACACATGCAGGAGGGCAGAGGCCAGGAGAGAAAAGTTGGCCCGCAGTCTCTCACTCACCTGCTGAGGCTGGGCCATCCTGAGCAGTCTTCCTATATTCCTGCACGCTCTCCTGGAAATTGGGGAGCTCCAGGGCTTCGGCTATGAATTCATCAGGGTTGCAAGTAATAAGCGCATCCCTGTAGGGAGAAAAGCATTTCAGGTGACCAAAGCAAACATCAATGTGGAGACCCAGAATTAATTCACAGAGATAATTGGCAGAAACTTCTTTCATATAAAGATTGTAGACTAAGCACTAAGAGATTGGGCAGTTCTGTTTTTATGCCTTGTGGAATCTTTCTCAGCTAAGTGGGGGTCGTGGAGTGAGTTCTGAACAGCTCCACCTCCTCGAAACATCTTCCAGCTCAGAGTCTGACAACCTTGGCACCACTGACATTTGGAGAGAGGCTGGGGGCAGGTCGTGTGCAGCATCCCTGACCTCCACTCACTAAATACCATTAGCACCTAGCATCTCCCTGGAGACCCAGAGGAGGGCCGGGAGAAGGAAAAATGCCCCAGCTGAAGAGCACCATCAGAGAAGAGTGACTCTCAAACTAACATGCATACAACTAATCACCTAGGAACCTTGTTAAACTGCAGGGCCTGATTCAGTGGCTCTGAGGTAGAGCCTGAGACTCTGCATTCCTAGCAAGCCCCCAGATAAGGCTATGTTTCTGGTCCTGATGTCACTGAGCAGCATGCTTTGGATCAGTGGTTCTTCAACTTGACTGAGCACTAAAATCACCTCAGAGCTTATGAAGTGAGCCCCAGGACTAACTCTCAAGTTCTACTTCCACAGGTTACAAGTACAAGGTGAATCAGGGTATCAGCTACGTTTGTTAATTACGGCTTTATGAACAGCATCTGCAGATGCTGACAAAGGGACAACAGGCTCTTCAACCTCTAGACATTACCTATGGGCCCCAGTCATGCTGCCACATAGCCTCTTAAAAAGCCCCAACTAATCAACACAACAGCACACAGCGTCCAGTAATAATCTGAAGCATGGTCTATTTTAATATAGACACTACAGAGAGGGCAGGAAACTTCAAATTTCAAGATTCAGATCTTAAAAATTAAAGGTGTGGGGCAGCAAGCACTTCTCACATTACTGGATGGAGTATAAACTGGTAGAGCCTTTTGGGACCACAAGCTATGTTTATTAAGTGCCTTAAGAAGCACCACACTTTGACTTAGTAATCCCATGTTTAAGAAAGTTCCACTCAAAGACTTATATATATATGACATTTAATGTTTCTTTAGAACAGCAAAAACTTGGAACTGTCTCAGATTAACAAACATCCCTATCTAGAATATCGATAACATCTCATTACTGACAACTATATAATGATACAGGAAAGACTATATAATGATATAGTACCATACAACAACACTGAGATGTCAGGCCACAAATCTACAGAAAAATATTTTTTAATACATCCCCATATATTCAAAGTTAAAAAAAAAAACACAAAATGTTAACAATCATTATCTCTCTTCTTGGGATGAAGGGGTTATGGGTGATTGATTTTCTTCATCATACTTACTTTCTACATTGTAAAACAACGAATCTGTATCTTTATTTTATCAGAGAAAACAATTACAGAAAAGGATAGTCATTGGCCCCAGTCTTTCCACCTCAACCATATTAGAGTCAGCTTGTTTTAGCAAATAAATATGTACTGGAATACAGCCACACCCATTCATTTACCTATTGTCTATGGCTCTTTCCTGATACAATGGTGGCTAAGTAGCTGTGATAGAAGCCACGTGGCTTGCAAAGACTTCAGTATTTACTACACGCCCTTCACAAAAAAAGCTTGCCAACCCCTGACCCAGATCTTCCATAGGCTCAGAATCACACAGACCTCTGCCATTCCCTCCGGGGGCGGAGCTGATACTTGAGGAGGCATTCACCGCGGACTGTGGGAACAGTGAAGGCGGTGTCTTCTTCCTAAAAAGAGACAAAAACACACTCTGTAGAGCGAAAGAAAAGGGTAGGAACCAGGCCAACAGGGACCATTCTGTGACACTACCTTACAGTGTAGACTGGCGAGTTGGGGGAAGATGTTGGGGTGGATGAGGTTGAGCTGTGTTTGAATCTTGAGGCTACGGAGGTTGTGAACTGATGTACAATTCTCATTCAGGATCAGGTGCTGCGTGTCAGGCCCGAACCTAAGATGAAATAGACTATGTTCACAGCGTCCCTTTGGGAACATTTCCATCTGAGGAGCAGCACTGGAGAGTAGGAGCAATAATGTAGATGGAGTATTCAAAGAGAATAAGTGACTTGTCCAGAAAGATTGCTACTAAATGGCCAAACATAATCCTACTTCTGTCTCAAAGTCCAGCGTTCCCTCCAAACCCAAACGCCTTTGGCTATGTTGAAAAGAATACCAGAAAATATGAGAAAAGTTACGATGTTTGGACCCTACAGCTACAGATTGAAAACCAAATGGAGTACAGGGTGAAAAAAAAGCCTAAAGAGAGGAAAAAAATGATGTATGTTAAGACTCAAATCCTAAAGGAACAGAGGAGAAAGAGAGCTGAGGAGTAAGAGACTGCCAGGGCTAATAGAGAGATGAAGAAAGAGATGAAGGGAGAAGCCTGGGAAGAAACAGGAAGAGGAGGCTGAACTGCCACCCAACGTTACTATGCGCTGCAAATTCTACACAAGTCAATTCCTTCCATCTGGTGCTGTCTCAGCCAATAAGCCAATGGGAAAATGTGACCTCTCTTTCCAGTTACTAAATTTTGGTAAACCATCTGCCTCACAGGGTTGTTGTGAAGATTGAGAAAATGAAATAAAATGCAGACTATTTAATATACTGCCTGACATGTGTTGGGTGTTTAAGAAACTGAAGCCATTATTTTAAACTCCAAGTCTCTTCTTTAGGATACACACAGAATCATCAACAAAAGGCAGCGTTTGTTCAGACACTGAGCTTAGAGAGTGTAAGTCGATACTAAACTGAGCCCCACATAAGCCATTTGTGCGCGCACTGCACCACCTAGTGGTGGTATTTCTTGACAAGAGTGGCACAGATGTACACAGA